TTTGAATTTTGTTCCTACTTCTCCATTCACAGTGAACTCCTCAGTGGATTCCCAGCAGTATGAATTGGTCTCCCATTTGTGTGATACACAATCTGCCTCATGCCTTCATCATAGAAGGCTGGAGGCCTCGTTTTTCAAGTTTTGTTTAAAATGTCAGACAGTGAATGAAAATCCCTTTTGCTCTAAAAATGGCTAGTCTTCTGTCTGAATGTGTCCCTTTCCTCTGCAAGTAAAGACTGGGGGGAAGCCCTTAAGTTGCAAGAAGTGAATGCTTTCACTCTGCAGAAGACTTGCTGACTGTAATGGATGACTTTGCTTGGAACTGGAATCTTTTCCAGGCCACAGTGTCAGGCCAGCTAAAGCCAGTGCTCATTCCAATTAGCTGATCATTGTGCCTTTAGTCACATCCTGTGCATCTTGACAACAGGAAATTATGGGTGTGATTTAAGTCTTAGATCTCACTGAAGCATCCTTATGGTAACTACAAATACCCATTATTTTCCTTGGTTACAGTGGATGCTTCTCCACACTCTCTTTACTAGACAGCATGGTGGGTTGCAGGTGTGAATTCTGGTCTGCCAAGAATGACATGGTACCATCTGCAAGCATGACTTTGGAGCTGTGTTGTCAGATTAAACTAATGGTTGTATTTCCTTCACTGAGTTAGTAGTAATCTTTTTCAGGGTAGATACTTCATTTGAGTTGGCAGAGCTCCTGCTAGAATGTATGGCTCTAAGAAGGGGTTAGAGTAATTGAGAACCTTCTGGTATGTTCTGGAAGTACAAAGGAATTTGGGTACAGATGGATTAATAGGGCTTTTTAGAAATGGACCACTTAAAATGAGTTCTGTTTGGCAGGGTTGGTGATGTACTCTGCTTATGAGGGAAACTCGCTTGTCCTCAGCGTAAGAGTAAGTTGGAAGAGAGACTGGATGGATTATAGCTTATATGGCCCTTGTTTTGGAACCTTAATCTGTGGTGTATAGGGGAAAGATACATACAGGGAACCAGGGAAATAGGAGATACCTCTGCAGACATACAGCCCCCTGCATCTCATTGTGAAGACCTGAAAATCATATGGTAGCTTTAATTGTACCACAGGGTTTTTAATTAATGTCCCTGACTGTTCATTATAAAATGCAGAATTTACACTTGGATCTTGCATTGTCCTAAAACAATGAAGCTAGTCTTTGTATTTTAAGAACAGTGTTCTGCATGAATGTGCTTTGTAAACAGAGGCAGTAGAACAGTGCTTTAGTGTTCATCTGGCAGTGGAGATGTGCAGCAGTCCAGAATGTTTTAATTCTTAAATACCAGCTACTTGCTTTACAATAAAGTGAAAATTTGTTGTTTTCTGTGAGTTTAACCCAGTAGTGGTTTTATTCTGGTTGTCTTTTGGGTGTTTTGGGATGGTACAGTTTGCTTCCTTTCAGCAAAACGGCTGAGTAAGCCAATGTTCAGATACCAAGTAGGAATGAATTCCAGTCACTCTGACTAAGCTTAAGTGTACTTGATACGTGCTTATTGTGTGAAATGTTGAGGTTGCACTAAGTAAAATATGTGACTTTCAACCTCAGCAGTTGTCTATGACAGCATTTTCTTAGTTCTTATGATCTTGTGCAACCATGTCTGATAGCTGCATGTTTTTTTCTGCATTGGAGTTTATTGGTGCTTGGCTGTAAAGTCTGCATTTATCAACTTAATGTAATGGGTTCTTTTCAGTCTTGTTCTCTATTCATTTGCACTTGATTTTGAAAGCTGGGAGTGTGTAGTGCTGAGTAAACAGTTCAGCTGATTTGGAGGTAGCATCTTAACCATAATGTAGTAGGCTGTGCTACTGAGTTTTTGCCTAAGTTAACCTATTTTAAATCACAGAATGCCCACCCTGTGTTAAACTTCCTGTGGTGTGCGGTTATCATCAGTCGCTAAAAGGATCGAAGACATGCTGTCTTAATGTTAAGAATTGTTAAGAACTGAGAGAAGACACAGAAATAAAAGCACTAGTAAGAGTTCAAGAGTTTCAGAATTGCATAATTGTTTATCTTGGTGACAGGGAATGAAACCTGGATGTTTCAAAACGTTGATGGCAAAATACTGCCAAGTGTTGCACTGTTAGCATCATGGCAATAGGTCAATGAGGTTTTGAAGTACAAGGAATTCAGTGTGTGTTTCTCCTCTAGTTCGGCTTCATCAGGTGGTTTGATCAAGAAGTACACTCTACTGAAGGCTGCTGAAAAATTCTCTACTCACTCCTCGCTGTGAGGAAGTGTAAGAGAGTGCTGGTGGGAAGCCCAGTTTGCTGGGGAAGAAGATGGAGTTGCATGATGTGGCTGAGCAAGTAGCATCATTGTGGATCTTGGGGCAAAGATCAGTAATGAGGGAGTGGAACGAGATGAGACTGCACAGGATGGTGGGGTCCAGTACAGGTTCAGGGTCACAGACACTTCAGTAGTGGCAGCTTACCTCCATGGAACTTGAATTGTGAAATTGTAGTGCTACATGTACTGTTACTGTACCAACTTGTGTTATGGTACAGTGTGTTAAAACATTTTTTGCTTTACCCTTTCATAGGAATTGATGTAACGTGGACGTGTGGGTATAGTTCATGAACCACTTGTTGGTGGCTTGTTTTCACGGTGTTACTTTTTTCTGCTTCCAGCTCTTCTGAAGCTCTTTAGTAGAGGTGAATATACTGCATAAGCATGTTAACATATGCCACTGTTAATGCTGTGGGACATAAGGCAGTAACTGGGCTGAGCAGTTTGTAACACAGTAGTCCATAAAACTTATTTCAGAACATGGAAATGCTGAAATCCCTGCACCAGCATTCCCCCACTGCAGGATTTAAATGGAGATCGCCGTTTTGCAGGTTGACCTGGAACAGTCTTTTTCCATGAGAGTAGCTGTCTGACTTATGTAGGTGTTTGGTCATATGCATATCTGAGTGATTTAATATTTCAGAAACTGAGGAAGCAACAGCTCCATTGCTGAGAACGGTGCCAGTTTAATCTCAGTCAGCAGAAACGTTGCATGCCTTTGATGAAAAATGAATGCTGCATTCCTTGTGCAGTGCTTCCACTGCGCTAAGAAAGCACAGCAGTAGAAGGCATCCTAATTACAGAGGAGGGTTTTCATGTAGAAGCACTATCAGCATCTGCAACATTCTCTGTCAAAAGGAGAATTAAGGTGGCTAAAGCTTCTGAATGTAATAGCGTATTAGAAGAGGCGAAAGCTGTTAAAACACCTTCAAAACATCCGGTGAGTGTCACTGCATAAAAATGAACTTAAGTCAGGCTATCTTAAAATAAATGTACACTTTTAGCACCCACCACAAGCCAGCAATGACCTATCTTTAGTACTAGGCAGAGCATGAGTGGAAACTGTCACATGAGATTGACTTTTGATGTAAATACGTCTACGGAGTGATTTAACTCCGTTGCTCATGCTGTAGTATCTAATGCTCAGTGTTGTGCAGGGTGCTAAACCACAATTGCATTTCTTCCTAGTATTGAATGAAACACTGAGTTTCACGACCTTCCATCACTAAACTGCGTGTGGCTGGTGCTCCTCTTGTTTGAAGTGGTGACTGTGGTGGTTAGCCTGGACCATGTGCAGCAACAGTGAGACCACTTCTGTGCAGCTGATGGCTTCGTGAAGAGGGTGGACAGCATGTCTCTGAATGGCTTGGCTCATGTCAATACCCAGTATTCAATATACTGCTTAGATTTTGACTTCAAATGCTTTTCCTAACCTTTTTAAACTCTAATGCTGTTTGGATTATGGTGAATTTTCTAATATTGTCTCAAAATACTTTGCTTAGCAGAACCCCCAAAAATGAGTACCCTGCTTTAGTTGTTAGGGTGGGTTTGAGGAAGTTAAGAATAAGTGACCCTAAAACAAATGTGGTGTTGCTCATCCATCTGATGTGTGCTTCAGAACATTTTGGATCCAGTGTGGCATACACATAGATGGATATTTGGTGCTGTCTCTGCAAATCTTGTAGATACCTTGGGTTATAAAATGGAAAATAGTTTTTGTACATTCTCTTGTCATTCTGGCAGTGAGGCAGAAAAGGAATCCTGTCTGAACAGGGGCACTGGCAGTCGAAAGGGATGGAAATCTCTGTAGATGTAAACTTGTTACTATTTATATTCCTAATACCCCCTTGATTTAGAAAATTATTGTGGCATGTGTTTGGTGGCTGTGCTGAGAACAAGCTGCAGCAACTGGCAGTGTGATGGTACGAGTAAGGAATTCAGGAGATTTCAAAGTTACCTTTCTGATGCTATATTTAGTTTGTTCTTCACACAAATTGCCTTTGTCTGCAACTGCTACATATAAAGTTTTGTGGGGAAAAAATGGTACAGGGAAGGCATTTCCTTCCTTTGGTTCCTGAAGACACAACTTGAGCACAAAACTTGTTCAGAGAGCTTTTCCTGCACTTACCTCCCCAAGGGAGAGCCTTGGTTTTGGTCATGTGCAGTTCAGACTTTGAATTGGAGACAAGACTGGCATAAGTTTTAGATTTCGTGTTTCCTATGGACTTCTGCAGTGGTGATCATTGATGTAGGCTTCATGGAATCATTTGTGTAGAAAGTCTGAAGTTTGTCTTATGCTGGAAATTAATCCTGAGATACCTTCCTCAAGGAGGGGAAGAAACCATCGAACCAAATTGCTGCTGGTAATACGGGGCTGCATAAAGCAAATGGCATTTTCAGTAAGCTATTATCTCAAGCACTTCAGCGAAGGAAGGGGCAAGAGTCCATGGCGGGGGGGGGGGGGGGTGGAACTAGATGATTTTTAAGGTCCTTCCAACCCTAACTATTCTATGATTCTATAAGGAGATCAACTGGTGGAGTGCATAGAGCATACTTGGAATGCAGTGACTGTTCATGGACAGGTTCACAATATATGTGTTTTGTTCTCCAGGCTAAGGAAATCCTGACAAAGGAGTCTAACGTACAGGAGGTGCGATGTCCAGTCACAGTCTGTGGAGATGTCCATGGACAATTTCACGACCTCATGGAACTTTTCAGAATTGGAGGCAAATCACCAGACACAAACTATTTGTTTATGGGGGACTATGTTGACAGAGGCTATTATTCAGTCGAAACAGTCACATTGCTTGTAGCTCTTAAGGTACCTTTTCTTCTCTGCTGTATGATTCTATATAATAATGTATGTATTTACTATCCTGACTGTGCTTAATATCTCTTATGATTTGTATTACATTGGCATTATGTATAGAAACTGAAATGTTGGCTGTCTTGGTTTTTTAAGATGCTTCTGAAAGGTTCAGTTAATGCTGTATTTCTTTTGACTTGCTTAAGTAGCAATCCTTAATAATTCTCTTGGGGAGAGCATCTTAATGCCCAGATGTAGTGAAGTCCACTAGTAACAATGAATAACATCTAGAATTCATCTCCAAAGTATTGGGCAGCTGAAGATTTGAATGAATTATCCCTACTTTCTCAAAGGTTATAACTCACTCTTCATCTTAAGAAGGGTTTGGTTTTCACTGCTTTATTGACACGTGATGGGAGGTGAGGGGGGGCAGATGGTTTTGTGAGGGTTTTGGGGAAGACATGTGTTTTATTGCTTCTAAACTAAGGTGTTATGTTTAGGTCCGATACCGTGAACGCATCACAATTCTCCGAGGGAACCACGAAAGCAGACAAATCACACAAGTATATGGTTTCTATGATGAATGTTTAAGAAAATACGGAAATGCAAACGTTTGGAAATACTTCACAGACCTTTTTGATTACCTGCCTCTAACTGCCTTGGTGGATGGCCAGGTACGTTGGTATTTGGTGGTGTTAAACGTTCCTAGTTGTAAAAGGAGCTGATAATACTGTATTGTATCAGCTCTCAGCTTTAAAGGAAGCTCTTGGTGATTTTTATCCTAATTATTTGTACTGATCAATTACAATTGTACTGATAGATGAAGTTTCTCTCATTTACATTGATTATATCTCACTGTTGCAGATTTTCTGCCTACACGGTGGCCTGTCTCCATCGATAGATACACTGGATCACATCAGAGCACTTGATCGCTTGCAGGAAGTTCCCCATGAGGTACTGACAACTAACCTTCTGAACTGGTGGGATCCATGATTCAGCACATACTGCGTGCTTGAGTACACAGGCTGAAAATGAAATTCACAACTTAGCAGGTTGAAAGTGCCTGGCTTCCTGTTGCAGTTTTGTGAAGGGGCAGGCTCTTGCCTAAAGAAAGAAACATTGTAGTGTGCCTGGAATCATAACAGGTACAACTGAATGATGTTGGAGGTGAGAACTGCTGCTATGAATATTCTTCATTCAGGTCACCTTCTTGGCAGTATTAATGCACTCGTTGTGCAGGGGTGGTGCACGTGGAGGTTTACTGGGGTTTTGTTTGGGTTTGGTTTTTTGCACTCTGTTCCTGAAACATCTTCTGTGTCTCTTGCAGGGTCCAATGTGTGACTTGTTATGGTCAGACCCGGATGATCGTGGTGGCTGGGGCATTTCTCCTCGAGGTGCAGGTTATACGTTTGGACAGGATATTTCAGAAACCTTTAACCATGCTAACGGCCTTACGTTGGTTTCGAGAGCTCATCAGTTGGTAATGGAGGTAAGCAGGACAACCTGGGTGTTTGAACTTCTGACTGCAGAGCTGCTCCGTTAATACCATACTCCGTGCGTTGGAGATGTGCATTTGCTGTTGTCAGCAATTGCTGATCCAGCTCAAAGGCTTCAGAAACTCCACTCTGACAGTGTTCATGTGCTACTAAAGGCGTTTCTCGATTTAACAGTGGAGTAACCTTTAATTTAGCCTCTGTTCTGAAAATTCACGGTAATGTCCCAAAAGAGATGCTCGCAGTAGATGTGGTATTGTATTTCTGTGTAGGTGAAAAGGCTCCTAAACATAAATGTCGAGTCCCTCAATAAAAAAATGCACATAAATGTGCATTATTTTTAATGTTTACTTCTTGCTTACTAGTAAGAAGCAACATATGAAGGCCAAAACTCCTTTTTCTTTCAAGAAGACAAAGATACAGCCTTCATCTTACTTCAGATGACCCTACAACTGCCACCTGGGGTTTTGCACATTGAAAATCCAGTTGCTAGTCAGGTGGTTATATGGGGTGGATACAAGTAGTGAACATGGCTGTCTGTCATCATTCCCTTTCTTTCCCTCTCCAGGGGTACAACTGGTGCCATGACCGAAATGTAGTAACAATTTTCAGCGCTCCAAATTACTGTTACCGCTGTGGCAACCAGGCTGCAATCATGGAACTCGATGATACTCTAAAATACTCCTTGTAAGTATGCTTGAAAATGAGAATTACACTGTCCCTGATACTAAGATAGCTGCCGCAATAAGATCCTACGTAATTATTGTGTTAAGGTTGGGCTTTTTCCCCCCCATGCTTTTGGGAGGTGAAGAGAATGTGGAATTGTTGGGTTAGTCACATCTAAAGACATCTTGTCTGTCAGATTAAAGGGAGACTCCCTGGTTTTGTTTTGTGTAAGTGGAGTTTAATGAAGGTGTGTGATTTGAGAGTAGGAGTGCTCTGTCACGCCTGAGGTGATGTCCTGACTTCTGGGATGTTTGAATTCCTCAGATATCAGGATGTCATCTTTTTCAATGAGTTTTCTAAATAACTCTCTCAGCAGCAGCTTCACTAGTAAATGAGGCAAAAGCACTGAGTAAACTGCCCCCTTTGACAGTCACTGGAGGCTTCAACTTTCTAAATATATAGTACTGTGTGACCAGTTTGAGTAAGTCCTTTGTAGCAATCCTGAGAGGAGTTTAAGATACGGGGGTTATAAATACATACTAATAGAAGGAGCAGAAGAAATTGAACACTTACTCTAGAGTAAAACTTTAACTGGTTCAAAAGACTTACCTGCATTAATTACTGCTGCCGTAATGAGACCTCACCTGGAGCATTGTGTGCAGTTCTGGTGTCCTCAACATAAAAAGGACATGGAACTGTTGGAACAAGTCCAGAGGAGGCCATGAGGATGGTTAGGGGACTGGAGCACCTCCCATATGAAGACAGGCTGAGAAAGTTGGGGCTGTTCAGCCTGGAGAAGAGAAGGCTGCGTGGAGACCTCATAGCAGCCTTCCAGTATCTGAAGGGGGCCTATAGGGATGCTGGGGAGGGACTCTTCATTAGGGACTGCAGTGACAGGACAAGGGGTAACGGGTTCAAACTTAAACAGGGGAAGTTTAGATTGGATCTAAGGAGGAAATTCTTTCCTGTGAGGGTGCTGAGGCACTGGAATGGGTTGCCCAGGGAGGTTGTGAATGCTCCATCCCTGGCAGTGTTCAAGACCAGGTTGGACAGAGCCTTGGGTGAGATGGTTTAGTGTGAGGTGTCCCTGCCCATGGCAGGGGGGTTGGAACTGGATGATCTTGAGGTCCTTTCCAACCCTAACTATTCTATGATTCTAATTCATGTGTGATACATACCTGAATGCAAAGGGAGCTCTGGCAGTGTCATTAATAGCTGTGCTTTTCAGCTTGCAGTTCGATCCGGCGCCGCGCAGAGGTGAGCCGCATGTGACTCGTCGCACCCCAGACTACTTCCTGTAAAGAGATTTTAGCCCTGTACAGTATGGCCATGAACCGTATGTTGACCTAAAGAAAACGGGAAGAGCAACAGTAACTCCAAAGTGTCAGAAAATATTTAACATTCAAACTTGTTTTCACATGGACCAAAAGACGTGCCATATTCAGATACAAAGCCTCTTGTCGTCAACAACTGTGACCACTTTAGAATGAACCAGTTCATTGCATGCTGAAGCAACATTGTTGGTCAAGAAACCAGTTTCTGGCATAGCGCTATTTGTAGTTACTTTTGCTTTCTCTGAGAGACTGCAAATAATAAGATGTAGACATTAACACCTCGTGAATACATTTAACTTTCCATTTAGCTCTAGCTTTATTCAGCATGACTGTAGATAAGGGTAGCAGCAAACAATCATTGAAGCTTAAAGAACATTTTTAAAGTAAGTACCAAGGCCTCATATTTGTTCTGAAACTGTTGGTTTTATTTTCAGGGAATACTGTTTAATTTAATTGTATTTGATTTTCTTTTTTTTTGTTTGTTTTTTTGTCTGCACTCAGTTCCCTTTTCCACTCTTGGCCCTTCCATATTGTCCCTTGTAATTGTCCAAGGATAGTGAATTACTTTGAACAGAACTGTTTTTTTCTGTAAAACAATGTGACTGCAGGACAGAGCTGCAGTGTTTTTCATAATAAACTTGTGAACTAAGTATGGAAACATGTCAAATCCTAATTGCATCTCAGGTTTAATAAGCTGACACGTAGCTGGATGGGGTTTAGAAACTTGCATAGGAATTTCCACCCGGAATAACTTAAGACTTGAGGTGGCTGGAGTGTGCTGGAGAGCTCCATCTCAGTTCTGTGCCAGGGAGGTGCCTGGTTGTGCAGCATCGTGCAGCTGAGAGCGGAGCTGCTTGTTCCTGCCATGCTGCTCTGCTGAAGTGCTCAAATGGAAGATAGAGGATCTCTGAATTCATTGAGCCTGGCTTTATTCAAGTGTAAATCTGAGCTTGAGTCATTTACAGTGGAGGTACTAAAATACTTCATTGCCTGAAACACTGAGAATAAAACCAGTTTTCTAAAGGAAGTAACTTGAAATGTAGTACTACGTGTATTGCCCAGGCTCCATCCTGAAAGCCAGCGCTGTGTGGGCAGTGGGCACTTCTGTTAAAATAGGTCCTTTCTACTGATTTGTTTCAGGATTTGAACCCTGATCTGATTGTTTTCTTCAAACAAGAAACTCACCTTTTATGCCTTGTTAAGGCTTGTGCTTGAAATTTATTGGCTGTATCTTAAGACGTATCTAGGTGTTGTTTTAATAGAGGACTTCATAATTAACAAAGAGGGTGCTGCATTTCACCAAGCATTACTTCACCCCTTTTCTGAAAGGCTTCAGTGGTGGCTGCTTTCCTTCAGCAAGAATGCAGCCTTGGCCTGGAGGTTGGGTTCCAAATGGTTTCTGGAGAGCACTTGCTCCTCTGCAGTTTGATCTCTTTCAGGAAGAAGGGGGTCCTAAAATAAGTGCATCTGAAGTGTCTGTTTTTAGCGTATCAGGAACTTCTGCTTTGATCACTGCTTGCTGTAGAGGGGAGTTCCCTTCAAGTTCCCTTCACTTGCCATTCTCTGGAAGTGGCTTTGTAGGCAGAACTCTGCCTTAACTGACACCTTTACTGCCAGAGTAGTGACTGTGCCCTATTTTCTGTGTTCCCTGTCACTCCAGTGGGCATTATTCCTCCTCCTCTGCTTGGGAGCAGTCTGTTTGCTCAGGTTCTATACGCAAGTGTGAGCAGTTGTTAGTAAAGTCAATGGAAAAGGCAGAAAGTCACCCTGGTTTTTGTGCTTCCCCCCCACTGGTGGCTGGGACTGGCCATCAGCAGATGTGAATGAGGATATCAGGTTGTCAACAATAAATGGTTGTTCTGATGGGGATTGGTCACCAGCAGCACTGAGCAGCTAAAAGCACATTTGGAAGATTCAAGAGGAGAAAGAAAACGTCAAACATAAATCATTACTGTCTGATTTAGTGGTTCACATGAGCCAAACCTCCTTCACTACAGCCTGTGATGATGCTGGCTGCAGGGGATGAGCGTAATGAGGGTTTGTACTTGTTCTGGAACTAGTGGTGATGTTCCTCCCTCACTCCAAGGACTGGTGAATCCCTGACGTGAAATAAGAGTAGCTGAATTCCCATTCTGTGGTAGTTCAGTGTTTTTTGAAGCAGGGTAGTTAAACCTGGTGAGCCCCTATTGGGGTTTAAGTTGTTGAAGGCATCCCATGAATGAATCTAAACCATACTCTTTCTCTTCTGTTCCTCAGAATTTGGATAGTCAGTCGAATTCTGTTGGACAGATGAAGGAGGGGTTTGAGCTTTCCATACCGTGTTTTACTGAAGCCACGCTTGATGTCCTGTCATTTAGCTGTTCACCTGAATTTGTGTCTCAGATTGAAGTGCCCTTCACCTGTAGAAGCCCATCCTTCTGAACTAAGGGGTGGTTGGGTCACAATCAAGACAAAATTGCACACCTACACAGGGAAACATTCAGGAACTCTGGGTTTGGAGGGAAAATGAGACTGAAGTGCACAGACTTGCCTTCATGTTCCCTCTACCCCTCTCTCCTGCCTGTTGTATGCACTGATGGACAGACAGTGCTGTGTGTGTAATGTCCCCTTCGTCCAAGGTAAAGCACCACACGTGTTTGCCACCTCGTCCTCGTGTCGCATTGTTTCCAGCTGCTGACATTTGCATCCCTGTCCCTGTCTCGGCTGCTTGGGCAGTGTTACCCGGTTTAGATCTCCTGATAACACCCCAGGAGGATACTTGATGCAGACAGACCTGGTTACCTCGCTCCTCCCTGTGTGTCTGGATGATAACAGACTAAATCCTGCCTTGGGGAGAAGGTGAGTGGATGGATTGCTGATGAGAGCTTGGACATTTCATCTGCCTGTCCTTCAGTCTGCTTAGTACCAAAGTCCATCTGGAAATGTGAGGAGAGAGATCTCTGAGGTTTACTGGTACCTGCCAGCCCCTGCTTCCGTGTGCTTACAGTTGTGAACTCAAACACTGACATCATGAAGTAATTGTGTCTTTGCTTTGGCAACTTAGAAATTCCACCTGAATCTTAAAGGATTTCCTTATGTACAATAGAAACCAAAAGCTGTTATGCAAGTGCTAGGCTTATTTGGGGCCTTTTTCCATAGTTCAGTAAACACATTCCTCTCTCTGTCCCCTTTCACCCCTTCATCTTTGTTCCCTTAGTAATAGTGGAGCACAGTTCCTGCTATGGAGGGAGCTGTGACCTAAGGAGCAGGAGGGAGCAGAAGGAGAAATGCTCTTCTTCATCAGGAAGAGTGGTCTGTGAGAAGAGGCAAGTGTGAACAACACAGGTTTTTAATCTCAAGTTAAATACTGCTCCAGGTTCAGTCCATGGCAGGTGAAGGTGAAAGTTCCATTGTCACCACTTCCTCTCAAGATATGTTTTAGGGGGGTTTGGGTTGGTGAAAGTGAAGTTTTACCCAAGAGAAATGGCTTTTTAGCATTCCATGGTTTATATGGGCTTAGGTTTTGGAGCAGTGGGTTCTGAAGTCCTGCAGAATATGTAGAGTGCCTTCTGCATGCTACACTGAGTATTAGTTCTCTGCAAGCTCCAGGAGGAGCTTGGAAATGGGTAAAGTGTTAAGTAAAAATGCCACTGGACTGTGCGGAAATCTTGCAGTCCCCAGGAATACACTGGAACAGCCCTGCAGAGCAAGCACCTCATGAGTCAGCTTCTGTGGTTTGCTAAGAAGTTATTTCAGTGCCCTAATTCATTTGGCTCTGCTGCTTTTGGATGAGAATAAAGGCAAGCTGCTCTCTTGAGCAAGGGATCAGAGTTCTTTGGCATTCATACAGGGAAAAAAGGGCTGAAACAACACTTTTGGGTTTAAATTAAGCAGTGCTGCATGTTTTAGCCTTTTAAAACCTGTGCTGTGGCTTAAAAGCTTTGTTCTTTAAGAGGGGTTGAACTACAGCTCCCAATCTCTTAATTACTTTATGGTGAACAGAACTGCTTTGGATGAAGATTAAACTGATGGCTGCTGGTGTGTAAATAACTAATAGAACCTAAATATTATATGTACATAATGAACTCGTGTATAGAGCCAGGTTGGACATACCAGCTTTCAGAACAGCAGGGTGGTGGGAAGGCTGCAGAATATCCAATCTTGGAAGTTTCCTGGACCAGGCAAGGAAAAGCCACATCTGGGCTGATGCTGGTGCTGCTTTGAGTGGGACCATGATCAAAAGTGCACTCCTCAAACTGGTAACTGCATATTCAATTGGGCTGGAGGGCTTCAGCCTGCCTCCCAAATGCCTTTATCAGGATGTGGAAAACCCACCCCCCGCCACCCTACCTCAGCATAAAACCTGCTGTGAAAACCCCTCTAGCACAGCAGATGATGCAGGAGTGGTCAGTAGCCACTGTTCTCTTCTGCCTCCTTATTTGATGAAGAAAAGTGGGGCCCTGGCAGTGTTTGTCTAAGAGGATCCTGCAGTGCTCGTTCCATGCTTGACCCACTTTGCAGGCAGCTTCCCTCCTTTTTCCTTACCACGTTTATCCTCAGGGAAGAGGAACATGGCTCGCTGCTGCTGCTGCAGGGACCTGTGCTGCAGCTCCCTGGAGCCTGTTCTTCCTTCCCCCTCTCAAAGAAAGGCTGCTGATGGGTGCTCTGTTGTGTCTGGCCATCAGTGTATCTTGCTTTAGTTCAGCCATCTCAAAACTGTTCCTTTTCCCCCGCAATCTCTTTTAGGAATGCTTTGAACTCGCCCGACTTCTGAAACACGTTGTATTTATTCCCATAGACTTTGAAACCTTAAAGCAACTCCTCTTTATCATCTGCAGCGTCAGAAACAGCACAGAATCTGGTTTTTGGACTTTGAACAGCTCCAAGGTCAACGACCCGGGGTCGTGCAACCCTTTCAGGCTGACCTAGTTCACTCAGCCAAGTGTGAGGCTATGCACAGTGTTATTCTCTGCTGCTTAAAGTC